TCATTAGGATATGACACTCCGGTAGATGTAATAGGTAAAATTTAGTTTCATGCGATATTAAAACAATTCTGTATTATATTGATATATCTTAATCCCTTTGATAAAAAAAAAAAGATGTTTCTACCCAACAAGAAATTCCTGATTGGAACATGTATAAATGGGCTACTTATTTCGATGGTCCAAAACGTGACCAGGTTTTAAATGTAATTAGCCTAGAAGTGAGCGACACATCCTTTGGTAAATCAATAGTCCGTCCACGCATTGTAAGGTATGATAATATATATCAATTACTTCATTCATTACTCTCATATTCGGTGCGCGCATTTCCTAGTTTATAATGATATTTCTTTGATGTTTATCTAAGAGAGCTTGACTGGGTTGAGAACATGTGGCCCTTACATACGAAAAATATTGAATATCCTAAAGTTCAGCTTTATTGCCTTATGAGCATTAAGGATAGCTTCACTGATTTTCATATCGATTTCGGTGGAACGTCCGTTTTTTATCATGTCATAAAAGGATCAAAAGTATTTTATTTTGTTCCACCAACGCCATCCAATTTAAAAAGGTATTCTAGATGGATATCCTCACCAGAACAATCCATGACCTTTTTTGCTGATTTGGTCAAAGATAGTTATGAAGTGAAATTAGTCGCTGGTAATACCATGTAAGAAAGACGATGACTTTATTAACAGATGAATCTTATTATTTTTATTTTTTTCCATTTTTTAAAAAATAAAAAAATTTATTGAACTTTACATTCTTATTTAAATACATCAGGATAATTCCTACCGGATGGATTCATGCAGTATATACGCCAGATGATTCGATAGTCATCGGGGGCAATTTTTTACAGGGGTTTAATATTAGAGGTCAATTGGCAGTTTATGATATTGAAAAACGTACTAATGTCCCGATAAAATATCGATTTCCATATTTCGAGAAAATGTGTTGGTATGCAGGGAAGTATTATAATGAGATACTTAAAGGTATTAAGAGACGATTACCATTTTCATTTTATTTATTAATTTATTTTTTTAAAGGTATCATGTTAATCGAATGAATTTATTACATTTCTCCAGAGGATCCATTATCCTTATCTCAATGGGAGTTGAAAGGTATAGTAGATTTAGCTTTATTTTTACTTGACTTAGCCGGTAGATTTGGGTCAGGTAATGAATCAACGACAGAAGAACAACAATTAATAAAGGACAATATTCCGGAAGAAATATCTGATCCTACAAGGCTAACGAAAAGGTTGAGTAGGAGAATAAACAGAATAATCAGCCAAGGTAACGTGGATTTTGAAGAAGAATTAGAGGACAAAAATCATAATTTAAAATCACGTAGTGATAACAATTCCGGAAAAGCGTGGGAAAATTCTGTAAGTGGTTCCACAAAAATCAAATTAAGAGTTAAGAGACGAATGGTAGATGAAGATCATGAGAGAAGGGTTAAATGGACGAAAACCAATAATTCCGTTCCGCCGCGACCGTCACCATATAATTATAGTATTTATAGTTATGATGAAAATGATCGAGAATCATCAACTTCACCGACCCCGGAAGAAATAGTAAGGGTTGAACAAATAATAAAGGAAAAAATTCGCGAGTTTGAGAAAGAAAAGTTACAAAAATTGGAAGAAACAGAAAAGTTTCATTGGGAAGAGATATAATGTCATTAATTAACAAAGAAATTTTGGAGAAATCTGCAACAAGTTGAATTATTCAAATCGGTAAATAAATAAGAATGATTTATTGATGTAAATAGATTTAAATTTAAATATAAATATTTTATATCATATACACGTGATTGAAATTTTAATATATACATAATTTACAGTAAAAATATTATGTTAATAAAATATTTATTTTATTTTAATTTTTTTTCTTTTTGCAAAATTGCAAGTACGGTATAGCATTGATTTAAGGATTTTATCATTCGAGTTTACGGTCTTTTAAGGAACTTATTCATAATTATAAAATTACAATAGCGCAATAAGGCAAAAAATGGTTGGTTTATTTTAATAAATAACTTATCATAACATTATTTCAGTTTAATGAGTATTTGGATTATTTGTATGAACATTATTATCATTTTGATTCCAATAATTAGCATCATAATTTTCGATCAAAGTTTGCTCATCTTTATAATGTTTTTGCCATTCGGTGATACCACCTGATAATACTTGAATTTTTTGATCGGGGTTAATATTTTTCGATAATAATTCATCTTGATAAGCTTTTGCGCTATTTGGTCCACGACCTTTTGAAAGACCACATGTGAATATAATTTGTGGGACTATCAAACAAGATTTCCAATTAGATGCAAAATTAGAAAGAAATTGATTATAAGGAAAAGAAAGATTATTATTTACCTTGACTGTAATCGGAAATTAATGAATCAAGACTATCTTTGATAGTTGCCGAAGGTTTATTAATACAATTTGGGATGTTACCACCCTAATAAATTATTAAATTTATCAACATAAAGGGAATCTTATAATATTCAAACAACCTTATTTAACTTTATTATTTACCACATAATCATCATCACGAACATCAACTATCAAATAATCCTTTCCTACTTCTTTGGTCTGAATTATCTCACGTAATTGTTCAGACTTGATAAATTCAAGGGTTGGAAATTTTGATTCTGTTGTCATTATTTTCTTTTATTGATAATTATAATTGAAAATTATTAAAAGCGAGATTACCAATTAGTTTATATAAATAAAAAAAAAATAAATAAATAAATAAAAAATAAGACGTGATTTTTGCTATTAATTTCGATTCCAAAATATTTATTATTTGTGATAAAAGGGAAAACCCGATATTATTGTTAAATGAGAGATCATCGAGATATTCATCACGTGATATCTCAAATTTATTTAATTTATAAACTACGTCATATTATCATTTACTCATTTGCTTAATGATGCTGCTTTTGCTACAAAGGCCTTAATCTCTCCCAGAGGTTTTACACCGATGAAATGGTTTATCGATTTACCATTGTGGAATGCATGTACTGTTGGAAGTGATGTGATCTAACGATAAAAGGTTCCTTATTAACTTGAATGACGAAAATTTTCTTTCTGATAACAAGAAAGTTACCTTATATTTTGCCGCGAGATCCGGGTTTTCATCAGTGTTAAGTTTTACGAGATCGACTTTTTTATTTTCTTTCACAACTTGTTCAAGAATAGGCGTCAACGCCTTGCAAGGTCCACACCAACTAAGAAAACCAACCAATTAAATTAAATACTCGATAATCAGAACAAATAAGAATCAGATTGTTAGAATTCAAATACTATGTACATTTAAATGAATCATATTTCCTTTTCGGAAACTTACTCTGCGTAAAAATCGACTAAAACGGGCCCTTTCGCTTCTATAACCATCTTGTCGAATGTATCATGATTACCGTCCAGAATTTGTCCAGAACGTCTTACAATTGAGCTATGAAAGAAAGCGGGTGAAACCCTTCGTGCTACTTGATTAATTTATTGGTTCTGGTTATTATTTAATAAAAATTGAATTGAATCGAATTAATAATTATAAATGTCCAACCACAAGCAAGCGTAGGACGGATAAGCCTTTGGTTTGTAAACATTTTGAACTAACTTCCTATGAGAAGAGAACGATGATACTTCAATATTACACAAGGTTTAACTTATATTTATTTCAGCCAATCATATTTCTTGTCTATCAATTACATTGCATAAAAAAAAAAACGCGGAAAAATAAATTTCATTAAAACCTTTTTTTTTTTTTTTAATATGCGTTTGATAACTCATAACATGCTTCAATGCCATGCAAAAAACTGCAATTCAAACAATTATCCCTTGCAGCTTTCTAAGGTCGAAGTCGTAAATCAAGAAACAGAATTTAATCCAATGTTCTTACGAAACATGTTGCCAAAGTTGGAATGGAATGCTTTAGTGAAAACAGCATTTCAGGTAATTAATTATGTTTTTCAACATAAAATTTGAAGTTATTGTACGAATTACATTAACTTTTTAATTTTTCTACTAATGCAAGGAACAAAATTCTTCGTAGGAAATTTAACTACTACTAATCGAATCTTTTTATCGTTTCTTTTTAAATTATTTGCAAAACCTTAGATTAATGTCACATTACCTAACGCTTTACCAGAGTCTTCCACTGATGAATTGGACGAAGAGTTTCTCAAGACTTTACATAGAGTCTTATTAGAGGTATTTTATTATTTGTTTAAAAGATTTGTTAAACAACTTATTAACTCTTAATTTTGTTTACTTTACAGACACATATTCAGCAAGGACAAATGACTTGTCCTAATTGTAATCATGTCTATCATATAAAAGATGGAATACCAAATATGTTGCTAGACGAAACTGAAGCTTAACATGCGTTCTTGCGCGTAAATGATACATACTTTTTAACCAAAGGAAAAAAGGTTTTTCTTTGTAGATCGCGTTTTTTTTTTTTAGCGTAATTATTGTTGAGTGAAATTATATATTGTGTAATTATTATTATTTATTATTTATTTTGGGCTAAAAAAAAAAACTAGCTCATCATATTAAAAAAATAAATATGATTTTTTAAATTCTCATCGGTGCTAACTAATTACAGAAAGGAATTTAGTTTCATTGGTTACTGTAACTAGGTTTTATTATGTGAATTAGGATACGCGAATAACGTTTTTTTATTTGATTGAATATAACTTCATCTGATGAATTGAGTTTGTGCGACAATCGATTTTATAATTAGTGTTAGGAATTCTTGACTAAAATAATTTTATTGAAAAATCAAATAATTTTCCGGGGGCGTGGAAGACATCGGATACAGGGAAGAACGTTCACAATTAATGTGGCCGAGAAGCTTCGGGTACACAACGACTCGACTACTTACTATAAAATCGGAATCAACTTCCCAACTTTTTGTCGCAACCACTAGAAAATAAAAACTGTAAAAATGTAAGTATTTGCGTCATCATCGTCAAGAATCAAGAAGAACGTTCGCAGTCGTTGTGACTGTGGCCACGAGGAGCTTTCGATTCATTGGTTCGTGTATCCTATTTACCATTTAAAACTTCCACGAATGTGGAAGACATCGGAAACAGGGAAGAACGTTCACAGAAAGAACAAAAACACTCTCAGTAGCAAACAAATACGCCAAGAATTTATAAGTTTCCGCGATTTTTACGAAGGAAGTTGCATAACTAATTCTTCATTATGAATCAGTTGACCTTCATCATAGAAACTCCCTCCAAGGTTTCTTTATTCCACTGCCTGATAATGCCCCCATTCCACTGTGGCCACGAAGAGCTTTCGATTCCTCAGATTATTTTTACACCTAGTGGCAGAGAAGCTTCGGATACACAACGACTCGACAGATAACTCAGTAAGACTACTTACCCTAAACTTAGTAACGGTTTATTCCCATTTCCACGGCAGGTGAAAGTTTAGAATTTTTAATATTTCGACCCCTTCGCCTTGTTTCTCGTTCCTGTTTATTAGAGATATTTTTCGTCCGAAAAGGAGCCTTTTTTTTTTTTTTAAAAAAAAAAAAAAAACTATTCATATATTCCCACAAAAACTTGTTTTACCTTACTATAACTAGTAATCAAACACTTCGATCATTCATTGTGAGTCACATCACGTATTGAGGATACTCACATACTCACGTGAATGAAAGTAATTTGATTTACAGATTACATAAGCTAATTATTTACAAGAGAAAGTCAAATTACATCTACTGTTCAAGGACAGTCTGTCTTAAAATAATTTCGATAAGAGAGAGCTAACAATACAAATGAAACCGAAAAAGAGTATACCTAAATGTAATATTGAGTTCGTGGAACGTAACTTAATTATATTATTTTTTTTTTCATTTACAAAGTTCTTTATAATAATGCGAGATTGACATTTGGAGAGCTGGCATTTATACCCATAATTCTGACCCTTTTAAAAGAAAAGGTATTTTTTTTTTCTTATTTATCTTATTTATGAAATTTCATTTGTGTTCAATAATCAATAAATAATATTGGCGCATTCACTATGAATATTTTAGGTCAAATTTATGATGAATTTTATAAAAATGAAATAAATTCTTTTTTTATAACTGCGGCCTAAAGTGAAAAAAACCAATAAACTGAAAAACTAAAAATGAAATTATAGAAATACATACCGCCCGAAAAGTAGCAAAAAAAAATAAAAATAAAAACCGGAAAATTTGATTAGAGCCCCGTATCAGTTTTTTCAAAAATTGAAAATAACTTAAATAAATTTATTATTTGGCGTCAAATTGTGATCAAAAAATAAAATCGATAAACTCGGGAAACGATTAATCGCGATTAATCGATTCTGCTTTTTTGCATTTTGAATTTTTTTATTTTTAAAAATTTGCATTCATCGAAATTAAGGTTCTTTTTATTAAACACTCGTACAGTGGGGTATCAAAAGTCACCGGGCATTTGCGATGTCGATCATTTTTTGAAAAATTATATCGAATTTTTAAAT